TACATAATCTATACCTCAATAGATTCGTGCACTTGCGGGTATTTTTAATTGGTTGTTTGCACATTAATTTGTGTCCTTTTAGGAATGCAACGCCTTCCTCTACCAAAGGGATTTTCATGGCACGATAACACCCTCTTCTACAAGGACAGGTTGTTTGTTCCTCCTATCAATGATTGGCGTTCCAAAATACTCCAAGAATTCCATGCCTCTCCCACGGCTAGCCATTCCGGTTACCTCCTCACTCTTAAACGCGTCCAATGCAACTTTATGTGGCCCGGTTTATGCTCTGATGTCAAAGAATTTATCACCACCTGCGATACCTGCCAACGCCAACACTACGAAGCCATCTACCCTCCCGATCTATTGCAACCTCTTCCAATTCCAACCGCATCTTGGCAATCTATCAATATGGACTTCATAGAAGGTATCCCTCATTCCAAAGGAAAATCAGTGATCATGGTAGTGGTTGATCGTTTAACCCAATACACCCACTTTATGGCCTTGGCACATCCATTCTCGGCCGAAAAAATTGCAGCGGTATTCATCCAGGAGGTCTTCAAATTACACGGCTTGCCCCAATCCATCATCAGTGATCGGGATCCGATCTTTCTCAGCAACTTCTGGGAATCTTTTTTTCAGTTCCAAGGGATCAAACTCTGCCACTCTTCCGCTCACCATCCTCAGTCAGATGGCCAAACAGAGGTCATCAATCGCATTTTGGAGCAATACCTTCGCTGTACCATTGGCGACAAACCCAACTCTTGGACCACATGGCTCCCATGGGCTGAATTTTGGTATAACACCACTTACCAAGCCACCATAAAAATGAGTCCCTTCCAGGCTCTGTATGGCCACCCCCCACCTCCAGTTACCTCATACACCCCTGGGTCTATAGCAGTCCATGCTGTTGACACAACCCTCATTGATCGTGACCAGCTATTAAACATCCTCAAATCCAATATCCAAATGTCCCATAATCGAATGAAGGTTTAAGCCGACAAACATCGTACCGAGCGCCATTTTAATGTCGGTGATTATGTCTACCTTCGACTCCAGT